AGATACATATGATGCTTTTTTGAATATTTTGAAATGCCTAGAATGAACTTTGGATGAGTTCAATTTACTTCATTAACTTTATGCTTTTTCTGTTCAGAATGATCTAATATATTCCTTATGAAGTATCCTCTAAGATTTAGAACATTCGCAATAAAACAAACTGGATAATAGAAGGGTGAAAATACATTTTAAAATGCTACATTTCCATGAAAAAGCTACTTCACTAGAAATAAAAAAAAAAAACCAACATTTTTCTCAACATATAGTTTGTTAAAGCAATGAAATAATAGAATAGTTTGGTTTGGAAGGGACCTTTAAAAATCATCTACTCCAAGCCTCCTACAATGAGCAGTGAGATCTTCAACTAGATCTGGTTGCTCAGAGCCTTGTTGAACCTGATGTTGAATGTTTCCAAGGATGGGGCATTTACCATCTCTCCAACTGGCCTGTTCCAGTGTTTCACCACCCTCACTGTTAAAAACTTCTAATCTGTGTTAGCCCTCTTTGAATTTAACATCATTACCCTGATAAAAAGAAGTTTGTTTCCCCATCTTTCAGTCTCTGTCAGAGACTGAAATATTATAGCTTATGACCTAAGCATTTTCATGAAAGACTTTTGCCTATTATAGCAGAACTGTGTTAGAAAAGCTGCAGAGATGACCACCACACCCTGAATGGGGCTCTGAGAGGCCCTACACTGTTCACTAAGGATGATAAGATAAAGTAATAACTCAGGATGGGGACATTCTCAACCTTGTATCAACAGGGATGAACCTATTAAATATGTACAAACTGTTTTGTAAACACAAATCAAACTAATATGAACCCATCTAGTATTCATTAAGCCTTCCAAGAAAATCTTAAAATAGGCAATTTTCCATTAGACTGGTAAACATATGCAAAGATCTGTATACCAAGAATATAATATAGGGGATAATAAGGGAAAGAAACTTTCTTAATCACTTCTTATTAAAAATACATATAAATCATGAGCCCAAGGAAGTTAACAGAATATAATTCTAAAATATTGTCTTTCTGGTAAGTGGACTATAGAAAATACATGTCTTAAATGAAAGAAGTTTCCAATATAAAGAAAAAGTAGCAATTTTTCTCTTATGTATTTAATTATATAGGCTATGGCCTAGAAACATGCAGTTTGTAATTATTTATAGAAACAAGGAAAAATGCATTCTTTTTATTAGACAGACACAATAATCTCAGATACTTTTTTTCACAGACTAAAATACTGCCATTTTCCTCAGTTTCTGCTGTGACTTCTGAAGATTAGAGTGGAAGATACTAACTACTTTTTCTGCTTTATTTTAAGGCAAGAAGTATACACGCATCTGCTACTTTTGTCAGCTTGGCTACAACAGAAATATTTGGCCATCAGCATCATGAAGTGCCAAGAAATAAAAGATTAAACTGCATTTCCAAGCACAGTTGGAGAGAAGAACTTGATATATTGCAGCAATGTGACAAGTCAGTGTCAAGGAACAGCTCCAAAATGGAAATTTGTCCTAAGAGGCAAAATATTAACTCCAGTCACTGCTGCCCCTTTGTCCATCATTGTTTTGGTTAAGAAAGGTGTAGAGCAGATACAACAGCAAGTATGGATATTGCACAGGACACTTTTTGATGACAAAAAAAGAGGAAGAAAAGAATAAGGGAAGAAAGATAAAGGATTTACTAGATTTTGTCCTTCCAAGAACAAGGGCCTGTCAGACTCAAATACCCTGAGGAAAACTGAGTGACTACTCCAGCTAAAAAACTGGCAGACCAGGTTAGTTAATTAAGGTATCTGTTCAGGCACCTCACTCTGCCACATAGACATTTATTTAGAAGACCAGTGTTAGTGACCTGTCCAGTAATATGTTTAGTTTGAGACTTCAGGTGTTTTCCTGGGTAAACTTTGTCCTTTTAATTCAGGTCATTACTGTGCCATATCAAGTCTTTGAATTTGGCTTAGGAGAATGTATTTTACAGATGGTGAAATTTCTGCCAACGTTATCTTTTAGGTAGTAATCCCCTTTTAGCATCTGCTGGCAGCAGTGCTTCCAGTGAGAAGAAAGGCTTTTGTCCCAGCCATTGCATTTGCACAGTAAGTACTTGTGCAAAATAGAAATCTGTTCTGTTACAGAAATCCTCACCAATGAAATAAAGAAACAATCTCTCTCTCTTTTTTTTTTTTTTTTTTTACTTACAGCTATTGAATGTTGCTTTGTTCTTATTTCTGCATTTCCACAATCTCACAGTGATATCAAAGATTGCTTCCAAATGATTGAGTAGCAAGTGGTGCAGTCTCTGCTGTGTTTCACAGATACCACCGATTACGGATCTGTTTGGCCTTCTGCACGCATATGTATCTTACATTATCAAATCCTAGTTGCATTTTATCAGCTCATACCTCACTACCAAGGAAATGCTTCTTTACCTTTTGTATTACTCATTGTGTTAGGGTGTGCTATTTCACCCTGTGTGACTGTCACAGAAGTTTAGCAGATAACTCTGATCCCTGCCTGGGTAAATGCTTAATTTTGCAATATTTTCACTTTATGGGAAAACACAATTCCTGTTAAAACTCAGGCTATGAAACCATGTCATTAGGGAGCATATTTGTTTCTATTGAACACAACTGCCAGGAAATAATACATAACACTAACTGGTTTGCATTTATGGCAATTACATTGTGTCTTCAACGTAAATGTTATTGATAGGACATTCAACACCTGCCGTCAAGTGTAGTTGAAACAAGATACTTGGGAATCAGACGTGTTTGTATTTTGTTTTCACCTTTTCAGTCAGGAATCTGTAAGCATCTGAATTTACCATTTATATGGTTGGCTCCAGTATTAGTGAAGGCAGCTAGTGACAGGTACATTTAATTTATCCTCATTACAACAAATGGCTTTTGATGTTCAGGAAATGTGTGCATCCATCCATCATATTTTGACATGTAAATGATCACTTGAAAATTAATATTTCTTGCTTCTGGCTTGCTGTCACATAAATACTTTAATATTTATTATTCTGATGAAGTGCACATCGTTCTATAGTATTTCCAGTGAATGTGTTCCATTGCATATACAGCTCAAATTGATCAAAAATCTTAATATTTAATTAATATATTTATCTGAGCTGAAAAGTGAAAATAGACAGATGACTGTAATTTTTCTATGCTCCATCCTAGCTTATGATGGACCTCCAATCTGAAATTCTAGTTAATATATTTTGTTCATATGATTAGGAGTCATGCTTGAAATGCAGTTCTATCCCAGTTTTTCTTCATCTATCTCAGAACTCTAAAATATTGCAAATAGCTTTACACTAGGGGCTGCTGTCTCACAGCATGGACCAGCAGTCATTCCACAGCTGTTCACTCGATGACAATAGGACAAGTTCCAGGATGAAGATGCAGCACATGAGCTCATTGAGTTACTCCAGCACAGCTCCTTGAATCCAGCCAGCTGAGCGTGCTTGTGGTGCAAACACAAGCCTTTGTTCTCTAAGGTGTAGATATGGAACGCAAGTGCAACCTATTTGATTTGAATTATACTATTTTTCAGTTATTTTTGAGACTACATGATTTTGCACGTCCCTACACACATCCTGGTAGTGTGAACATGTGGCTTAGCTACCCCTGCTGCTGTTCTGAAATTGCTGAAATCTGCCATCTGTATAAATTGCTCAGTGCAAGAGAGTGCTCTCTCTTTAATACAGTATTTAAACATATTAGTTTAATTCCAGCTAATAGAACACTTTCTTAGATTTTTTTTTTGATATTCATGTACCTTAGGACAGTGAAGACATTTACCCCTTTAGGAATGACAGTATTGCTGTGTATTGGTGTTCTCTGCTATTGCACAAAGGTAAGCCAATACCTACAGTGCACCAAACTTAATCTGTGTGTAGCAGGGAGAATGTTTTCCTCCAAATACAGTTCCTATGCTCATATGCCTGCTCTGGATCATGGCTTTGGATTCTTGGTTCCTGTTGCATTCATTCACCATTCAAGGACATACTTCTCCTTCTCTATACATTTTCATGAATTTGCCAAAGGACTCTCTTTGTCCATTACTACCCAAATTCCATGGGATCAGCCCAGCAGTGAACTACATTAACAAATTCATTACTGCACAATCCTAAGTCATTTTACATGGAATTCCTGCTGTCTGCACTACCTATCCCTTTTATGCAGCCTTTTCAGACCAAATCCTTCTAAGTTAAAAAGGAGTAAAAATTTTATACTCATATCCTGAAATTAAACCTCCTTTAAATGATTTTGCCCTCAAAATTTACTGTCTTGCTTTATTTGGCACATGCCTAGAATGTGAATCTGATTAAATATTTGAAGCTTTCTTAGCTAAGTAGTCTGCTGGCATTGAAAAAATATTTTGAAAAAAATTCTGAAATATTTTACATAGCTACAGCCGAAATTTTAATTAGACTGAGCAAAAGAAAAAGGAGGAGCGAATATATGTGAACAGAACAGCGACCCTTGCCTGCACGTTTTCCCAGGTCTGTGAAACCTAAATGCAAAAATTTCAAGAAAAAACAGCGGAACACGCGGTCACTAATAAACGCCAAATTAGGAATGATACAAGCTAGGAAAGTATCTGGAAGACCCGCAAAGACTGTGATGAAGAGTAACACACGGAAACCGCGTCTGAGAATACAACACTCTTCTGCTTCCAGAATTTAACAAAGCTCAGCTCTGACGGCCACAACAGCCATATGCCAGCAGAGCGGCCGGCATGGCATGCAATAAACCCATCGCCCACCGAGCAGCAATTCGCGGCAGCCCCGTCCGTCAGTCACACCGACTGCCCCGGCACCGCTTCCGCCGCGTCACACCGCGGCCGCCGCCGCCTCCCGTCCCGTCCCGCCCCGTCCCTTCCGGGCCGCTGCGCCCGCCCTGCGCGGTGCGCCCGGCCCGGCCTGAGGGTACCGGCCCCGGTGGGCTGGGCTGAGCTGGGCTGAGCTGAGCTGCTGCCCGCGCCATGGCCCTCGCCGGCAGGGCGGCGCTGCGCTGGGGGGCACGGCTGCCGAGCCCCGGCCCCGCCGCCGCCCCGCTCTGCCGCCAGGCCTGGCTGCCCGCGGCGTGCGGGCGGCCCTACAGCTCCCGCGGCAAGGTGAGTCCGCGGCAGCCCTATAGCTCCCGCGGCAAGGTGAGTCCGCGGCAGCCCTATGGCTCCGGGGGCAAGGTGAGTCCGCGGCAGCCCTATGGCTCCCGCGGCAAGGTGAGTCCGCGGGCGGCCCTAGAGCTCCCGCGGCAAGGTGAGTCCGCGGGCGGCCCTAGAGCTCCCGCGGCAAGGTGAGTCCGCGGCAGCCCTATAGCTCCCGCGTCAAAGTGAGTCCACGGCAGCCCTAGAGCTCCCGCGGCAAGGTGCTCCCGCGGCAAGGTGAGTCCGCGGCAGCCCTATAGCTCCCGCGGCAGGGTGAGTCTGCGGGCGGCCCTACGGCCCCTGGCCCAGGCCGGCTGCTGCCAGACCCCTGGGCTCGCCGCATTGACAGGCGGCCCACGCTGGCGTCCAGGAGTGAGACGGATGCATTACTGCTTGGTAGAACTGCCTTGCTAAGGTGTAGGGCTTGACATGTTTCAGTGATCTCGGTTCTAGGGACGGGTTAACAGAGCTTGGAGAGAACGATGTGCTGTTAGTAGTGGGCACAAAGAAGGCAGAATTCACGGGCCAGAAGGACAGAGCTCCCAGGATAAGGAAAGAACTAACACAGTCAGCTCAGCAAGTGTGCTGAAATAGGCTCTGGCTGGGGAAAAATGTACTTCTGGCAGGGGAAGATCACGACCATAGACCCGAGAAACCCACCGACTCAAGAGAAACAGACCATGCTGGCTAACTAGCATAAGTGAGGGAATAATTTAACCAATAGAATACGAATTAAAAGAACTATGTAACTTTTAGGAAGTCGATAATAATGCCTTTGTTTGCTAAAATGTATAAATAGTATGACGTTTTGATAGTTGTTTGCTGGCTTTGTGGATTTTCCACCAAGTGCCCCTTTCTGCACAGAACTGTAAATAAATAAAATACTTTGACTTTTATGTGTGGATTGGCACCTTCCACACTGTAGCATCCTTTTTCACTGTCTGCTTGCTCCTTGTGATAAGGTTACTACTCGCTGAGTCTCTAGATAATGGCTCTGTATTGCTATCATGCTTGTGAAGAATGATGTCCTTAATGGCCCCCTGAATCCAGTTTTCTTAATCCTGAAGTTTAGTAGTTTCACCAATGTGAAACTAAAACAAAATTTTCCAGCTCCCTATGTACATAGGAACATAGTACCTTTTGCATACTTTCCAGCATAGTTCATAATTGTTTAGTGATAAAAGAATACATGTGTCTGTATGACTCAAGTGAAATGCTGACATTTTAAACAATGGTGACAATTCAAGCTTTTGTATCTCTGTTCAACCTGTACTACTTCTAGAGAAAAAATGTTAAAATAATTAATTTGTTTTTTTAAAGGCCAGGTCATATGCTATATAGAGACTGTAACCTTGATTTTTGAAAAGAAATTCCTGTTTTTCAGGAAGAAATAGATATGTCAACGTATCCTGTTGAAAGCATTAGAAACTTCAGTATTATAGCTCATGTAGATCATGGCAAAAGTACACTAGCAGACAGATTGCTGGAAATTACAGGTAAGCATTCTCATTTTATGCTACCTTTTCTTGACATGGAAGGTGGCATCTTAAGTTTGTGTACTGTTGATTATACTAAAATTTCTAATATTTTTGCTCTCCTAGTGTTGCTTGGGTTTTTAAGCTCTCAGTTGTGTAGTGTTACTGATATATGGACTTTATGGTTGAGATCTGCCTACACGTAGGCATAAAGAAGTGTGTAATTCATTTAAAGGAGTACATATTTTGGAAAGAGACTGAAAAGGAGTTTGAAGATGTTTCTTGTTTCAACATCTTCCTTGTTCAAGATGTCACTCCTGTCACTCTAACCAGTCATCCATTAGAACAGTACATGTTAAGTTTATGATGTTTACTGCCTGTGGTTGACGTGGACAGAAGGGGTGGGACTGTCATGACCTGGGAGTTCTGGACTCACATTTAAGGATGAATGAAACAAAACCAGGGAGAGAAAATTCTGATCAAAGTTATTTTTTATGATTACCTCCCATGTATCATCAGCATGAGCATTTTTGCCTGATGCCTGTGATAGAATGGGATTTTGAATTTAGGTCTGTCACTCTATGCTAATGCTCATCTGGCTCTTGAGATTGAGTTTAGAGCTGTGGGCCACTCTTCCTCAGTGATAGGAGGGGAAGTTTCCTTAAGTATCAAAATTATTTACAATTCAAGGGAATTTTTCCTTCTTCTTAATCTCTTAGATGATGTTTTTTATCCTGCTTATTCAGGTTAGTATTTTATGTAACTTTATTGTGTAAACTTTATTTGACAAATGTAAAGAGTTGATGCACTCTTTTGTTTTTGATTGAAAATCTTTGTTTAGCTTAATTATATGGGAAAGCTTCATTTGCTCTTGGTTAACTTTTGGTTAATGGCATTTTCAAGATTTATGTAGTAAGTTAGGTAATAAAGCTTTTTTTTCCTTATTTTTAGGTACAATTTCTAAAACTGACCGTAATAAACAAGTGCTGGATAAACTTCAAGTGGAACGTGAAAGAGGAATTACAGTTAAAGCCCAATCTGCATCTCTCTTTTACAGTCATGAAGGAATAAACTACCTCTTAAATCTTATTGACACACCAGTAAGTTAAATATAAACAGTGTTGAAATCACACAAATCTAAATGTCCTTATAGTTAAAAGTAGGAGATTTCTGGCTTCCTGTGTTTATTCAATTCCTCTTTTATAAGAATGTGAACTTCATTAAACAAATATATAAATGAAAACAATGTAGTACAGAAATCTTTGCAAAAATACCTGAAATTGTAAACATCTGTTTTCTCCATAGGGCCACGTAGATTTCAGCTATGAAGTATCACGGTCACTATCTGCCTGTCAAGGTGTCATACTTGTGGTGGATGCAAATGAGGTGTAGTACTTAATTCTTATTTTTTATTTAGTATTTCAGGATTTCCTCTAGCTAGAGGGAAACTAGGTTGTGGGATTTTGTTTTGTTTTTCTGGCAGTGTTTCTGCCCCTGGGCTATTGCCATGAAAGTATAACATTGCAGAAAAATAGTAGTGGGATTTTAAAGCAGTTGCATATAATCAATCACCTTTTATTTATCCATCTCCTAAATGAAAGAGTTGATAGAATAGCAATGTAATCTTAAATTGTATAGTATGCCTAAAAATACTCCCCAAAACCACACCAAAACTGAGGAGATTTCTGTGTTAAACTTTACAATGTTATTTTCTAGGGTATTCAGGCTCAGACAGTGGCAAACTTCTATCTTGCCTTTGAAGCGCAGCTTTCAATAATTCCTGTCATAAATAAGGTAATAAAGTTATTAGCATTTTTTATTAAATACTTGGGTTGTTTAAATGTGTATAGTGCTGATCAGAAATGTAACCTCAAAGAGAAGTAAAGAAAGTGATTTATTATAATATTTATAGGATTTAGATTTAACAGTACTAGGAATTTTCTGTATTTGCTGTCTGTGTAAAATTTTACAATTTAACTGCTGTGAAATTTTTAATTTCATGAAATACATTTAGGTATTTAAAAATGTAGCACTTAAGGACATGATTAGTAGTGGACTTTGCAGTGCTGGGTTTATGGTTGGAATTGGTGATGTTAAAAGTTCATTAATATTGAGGAAATGACATGACTAGAGCTCAATATTTAAAAAGTGGAGTCTTAATTTTAAAAGAAATTCTAAGTGTTACTTTTTATACAATTTTGAGAGCTGTATTATTGGAATCACAAGATTAATTACTGCTCAGCTTATGTTAATTGCTTTTTGTAGATTTATTTTGTACTTAATATGTAATCCTATAAACAGTGTAGGTAGCTCTTAATGATTTCAAATTACTGTGTAAACTAAAGATTTTTACCAACTCTTGGACAAAGGTGTTTTCCCTAATGAAACAAGCCAAAATGAGACTGGTTATGGACAGGATCCTTCCCAAAATCAAGGAAGGAAGACTTTATAAAATGAATATTGATGTTTTCCTGAAGATGGACAGTGTTTACTCATAAATACATAAAGGTTCTTTGCTGTACTTTGCTGTTCTTTTTGTACTTTCTACTGTACTTTTTGTACAGTACTGGATGATGTGGCAGATCTGGTTTCTTGTATATTTAGCAGTTTGTTGTTTTACAGATTGACTTGAAAAATGCAGACCCTGAAAGAGTTGAAAAACAAATTGAGAAGCTGTTTGATATCCCTACAGATGAATGCATAAGGGTAAGATCTCTGAGTTTTATAACATGCCTGATAATATAACTTTGTAACTAACATGTCACATGTGCATGTTGTAAATTAAGAGAGTGCTATATGTCTGCCTGTTCTTGTCTGACATAAGAATTTCTTTAAATTTTGTCTCCTGTAAGAGTGGAGAAAATAACTTTCAGCTAAAAATTCTAGTATTTTTTCAGGATTAGAAACCAGGATTTTAAATTATTTCTCACTGTCAATCCATAAATGATTTTTGTTTCTGTCATAAAAATAATTGCCATTCAGTAGAGACAGTATTTCTTAGTCATAGCATTCTAGAGTGTCCTTTTGAGTGCTTTTATGAGTACCACCCAAACTAAGTTAACATGACACTATTTAATTAATAAGGGTAAGATGTGTCTTATAAAGTTGTTGTTGGATTTGTTTTAGATTTCTGCTAAACAAGGAACAAATGTTGAAAAAGTTCTTCAAAAGGTCATTGAGAAGATCCCACCGTAAGTCTGTATTTAATTATGTGTCTAATTAACCTTTAAAAGTAATTTGGAAATCATGAGTTGTATTTATACGGTATTGGCAGTAGTTTTACACTTAATATGCATCTAATTAAAAAAAATATTTTATAGATAGATGTAGGAGAAACAGAAGGAAAATAGTGACTTGTTCTTAAACGGGAGAGGTGAATTAGTCAGCAGCGAGGCTGAAAAGCAGAGGGACATTTTTTTCACCTCTGTCTTTACCAGCACTGTTAGGCTTTAGGCCTGGGGAGCAAAAAATGCAGGTTGATGCACAGACCCACTCAGCAAAGAAGGAGTTGATATGTGAGCTGCTACAGGAGCCTGACCCCTGTGCATCTATTGGCCCTGATAGTATCCACCTGAGGATTGTAGGAGAACTGGCTGTGTCTGTGCAAAGCTGCTCTTTGTAATCTTTGAGAAGTCCTGGAGATCAGGGGACATCCCAGAAGACTGGAAGAATGCTAATGTCGAATTTACTAGAAGAACTTAAAGGAGGATCCAGGAATTTATAGGCCCATTAGTCTTACTGCAGTCCCTGGAAATGGTATGGAACAAATCCTCCTGGGGGTATGACAAGTCAGATGAAGTGAATGGGAAAAGCGAGCAGGGGTTCACCAAGGATGTATTGTGCTTGACAAACCTGATCACCTTCTACAGCAGAGTAACCTGCTGTGTAGTGTGAGCGGTGGACAGTGGCTACCTGGGTTTCTCTCTACCTGGATCTTAAAGGTTTTTGATAAGGTTTCTCACAGATTCCTGGAGAAACCGCTGTGTTACAGTTTGAAGTGGTCTGTGTCATGGGAACTGTCTGACAGGCTGCACCCAGTGGGTGGTGGTAAATAGTTCCTTTTCAGACTGGCCACAGGTAGGGTCTGCCAGGGTTCCACATTGGGTTCAATGCTATTTCTTTTAAGTGATCTGGAAGTTGGGATGTGTACCCTAGTGAATTTTGCCAGTGATACCAAACTGAGAGGGGAAGTAGACACTTCAGAAAGGGGGAGCAACTTTGCAGGAAGTCCTAGATAGGCTGGAAGAGTGGGCTAAAAAGAACCCTATGAAATTCAACAGAGGCAAAGGTCTAGCACCTGGACAACACAGGCTGGAATCTACCTAGCTGGGGAGCAGCTCTGTGGAAATGGACCCAGAGGTCTTTGGGGACAACAAAGTCAATGTGAGTGAAGTGTTCTGCTGCAGCAAAGAAAGACAACAGCATGCTGGGTTGCCTTGGGACATCAAGGACAGGGACATCAACAGCAGAGATGAAGTCATTATCCCACTCTGCTCAGTGGTGGTCAGTCCACACCTGGAATACTGTGTTTGGTTTTTGTCACTTCTGTGACAAAAATGGCTGCTAGGCCATTTGTTAAGCCAAGAATGTTTTTGCCAAGAAAAGTTGGATCAGGTGATACTGGAAATCCCTTCCATCCTAGTGTGATTCTGTGAAAGTGTTTGGGGCGGGCATGCTTGCTCATTCAATAGTGAATGAAAACACACTGCATAATACGTTGTTCTAATTTATTTTGGTGACAGACCCCAAGGTAATACTGCTGATCCACTGAAAGCCTTAGTATTTGACTCTACCTTTGACCACTACCGAGGTGTCATAGCTAACATTGCGCTCTTTGGTGGGGAGATTGCAAAGGGACAGAAAATTGTGTCTGCACACACTAAGAAAAGATATGAAGTTCATGAAGTTGGAATTCTGACTCCAAATGAACAGCCAACACATAAGCTGTAAGTAAAAACTTCTTACAGTGGAAAAAATAATATATTGGGCTAAGCTACAGTGTCCTGCATTTCTGTTTGATTTTTGCTTTGAGAGGTAAAAACTGGGAGATGTCTAGGTTTTTGTTCTTGTTCTTTGGTGGTGCGTTTTTTTAATAATTACTATTTGCAATTTAGTCCTCTGTGTCATTTTTTATTTTGGGCATGCTGAAGCAGAAGGTTTTAGGGAGTGCTTTTGGGGCATTGCTGTGGGAGGAATCCATTATCTTCTGTAGTACATGGAACATCTGGACAGCTAAGTGTTTAAAGGCTAGTGTTCGATATTCTTATTCAGCTGTCCAATTTATTTCTAGGAACTGCCCTGTTTGAGAGTGGAAGGGAATGGGGCTTCATCTTAGTTATTGCTGCAGCATATTTTGAGGGTGGAAAACTTAAAATCCATGAATGCAACAGCTTCCAGAAACTGGCTTCTCAATGGCAGCAGTGGGAAGAAAATCAGGTACTTAGAATCAGTGGAGAAGTTTTACCAGTGTGCATCCAAATACACATTAATGACTTTACTGGGGTCATTTTCAGGTTGCATTACTGTGTCTGCTGGGTTGAACCCAGCCAGCAGTCCAGCCAGCCCCCTGCTCACTCCCCAACCCTAGCAAGATGAGAACTGAGGAGGTACCTGTGGATTGAGATAAAGGCAGTTTAATAAATGAAGGAGAAAAAAAAAGAAATAAAAACAAATGATGCAAAGACAGTCCATTATTCGCCACCTCCCACAAGCAGACTGATGTCCTGATAGTCTACAAGTAAAATCCTTGGAAAGACTACACTTCTTTTGTATTGCTAAGCATGATATTTTGTGGTATGGAATGCCCTTTTGGCCAATTTGGGTCTGTTGTCCTGGCTGTGTCACCTCCCAGTCTCTTGCATACCCTCAGTCTTGCTGGAGCACAGTGAGAAACCCACAGGGCTTGCTCAGCAACACCTAAACATTGGTATGTTATCAACACTTCTTTAAGTCACAATTCCAAAACACAGCTCCATACTAGGCTGCTTTGAAGAAAGTTACTCCATCCCAGTCAAAACCAGTACACTATGTTTTACTCAATATTTACCATGTATTCCCCTCCTATTAGCATAATGTGCTGATGGAAAGCGTTTGTCTAGTTTCATCCTAGTGGTATATGAAACTTGCTGTGCTGGCAGCTGGGTACTGTTCTGGTTTCTTTCTTAGGAGCTTCTCAAGGGTCTAGCTCCAGCTTTTAAACTGAGAGCATCACATTATTCAAAATCCAGGATCATAAATGTACTGTTCAGCTGTAACAGAAAAAGAGCTAGTTGAGACTGTTCACAACTCAGAGGTGAAACAACTTAAATCTCACTTCTGGACTTTGGATATGGGCTTTTTAGGGGGTGATTTATTTGAATTTCTGGCTGGGCTAAATCAAGTAGGAAAATAGTAGAAATACTGCTAATGCCAACAATCATGTCCATATAATAACAATTTTATTTAGCTATGCAGGACAGGTGGGGTACCTGATTGCTGGAATGAAAGAAGTAACGGAAGCCCAAATAGGAGACACACTGTTTTTGTATAAACAGCCAGTGGAGCCTTTGCCTGGCTTTAAGTCAGCGAAGCCAATGGTTTTTGCAGGTGAGGAGTAAATCAATATAAAGAGGAGTTACTTTTTTCCATTGACAAGAGTAAGAGCTGTTAGAGCTTTTAAAAGAAAACTGTATATTAAGAGTAGGGATAATCAGAATTTTAGCTGAGGTGCATCACTTACGTAGATTTGTGTTTTCTCCCTGTGACTTAGCAGGATTAGTAATAAATGCTGACTGGTTTTGCATGAATACAACACAAACATGATTATTGTTTCTTATGCCAGTAAACTCTTAATAGCTGGAAAAAAAGGGTTAAAATTAAAAAAAAATAGAGGGAATTATTCATCTTGATAATCAGGTTTCTGTAATTATTGTGTTGGTTTTTCTTCTTTTAAAATTTAGCAGCTGTTTCATTTTTGTTAAAGATGGTAAACTGCCAGAACTAATATGCAGAACAATCCTGTAAAATATTTTACTTTTTGAGCTTGAATAATTCTATTGAGTTGTTGTCACTAGCTTCAGTAACTACTACAAATGCTACAGAAGGTGGCTTTAGAAAAAATTCTGTAAATAATTTTCTAGACCTGTTGTGAAGGAGTGTGTAGAACTCACTCGAACTGTCTCATGGAGACTTAGGCATGTAGATGATGTTTTTGTATATGTGTGTTGCATCTTGATGTAGATGACATTTTCTGAGCATACAAGGATGTGAAAAGTGATACAGTAGAATCTATTTCAGGCAGTAGTTATACAAATAGCTGTTTTTATTAATTTGAAAAGAATAGAGAAATATTTGCAACTTAGAAATGATGCTTTTTATTTTTCACTCACTCTTAGCTTTGAGGGAACATCTCAGTGAAGTCTATACACTTACACTGCAAAACAGTGGTTATACTCAATCGTGAATCTTCCATAAATGTGAAGGATTAGAGGAGTACAGTGATCCTACCATTATGGTTTAGATGTTAATTCTTGAGGTAATCTAAAACATTTTTATGTTTTGACTAATTTTTTTTTTGAGGAATAAAGAATCCTTATATTGTTTTTCACATTTAAAAACTGATGGAGCAGAAAGTAACTATTCCTGATTTTATTACTCTGTTAACTGTAAGTGGCATATTTGAAAGCCAGGTACACAGTAGCTAAAGCTCTCTGTCACATCACTTCTATTTAATATATTTTGACAGGAATGTATCCAATAGATCAAACAGAATATAATAATCTCAAAAGTGCTTTGGAAAGGCTGACATTGAATGACTCCAGTGTAACTGTTCATCGTGACAGTAGCCTTGCCTTAGGAGCAGGATGGAGGTGAGGTTTATGTGCTGCTTTCATTTCTTAAACTGTTCATAAGTTAAGAATGCATGATTAAATAAACTGAAGGTAGAATTAAACTTAATTCAAAATTGTAAGCTGTAATTCAAATAAATGATAAAGATCATTAATTTAATTTGATTTTCTTACATTCTCTGCACAGAGAATGAAAATTTTTGTGATCAATAGTTTTTGTTCTCCACGACTTTTTCAACTCTATGATTATTTGGTCCCTTGAAGGTTGTTTGCTTTGCCTGTACTGCCATACTAGCACTGTAAACATGCTGGAGGGTAAAAAAGATCACTGTGAAATTCCAGGGGATACACAAATACTTTTACCAACAGGGTATTTTTTTTCCAGATTGGGTTTCCTTGGTCTTCTACATATGGAAGTCTTTAATCAGCGTTTGGAGCAAGAGTATAACATGTCTGTTATTTTGACTGCACCTACAGTTCCATATAAAGCTGTTCTTTCCTCAGCAAAGTTGATAAAGGTATGTTAAATTCATCAAAAAAATTATGTAAATATAATAAACATCTAGAGTCTCTTTTTAAATGTAGACTAGTACTCTATTTTATAGTAAGCATTAGAAACACCAGTATATTATTTAAATAGTTTTTAATTTTTTAAGGATGTTAACTGCTCTTTCCTGTTTCATTTCAAGCACTCTCTCTTTATGTCTTATACTTTTCCTTGAAAATGGGAGTATAGGACACATACCTTGCTGTATTCTTTTAAGTGCTTACTGACTGAACTGCATTAAAAGCAGGTGAAATAATCTCCCAGGCTTTATCCATCAGAAAACATGAACGTTTCTAGGAATAGCTTGTGATGATACTGTAGGTTGGTAAGGGGCTGGTGAAAGTGAATTTTTTGGATCACAATTAAATGGGCCTGTGCTGAGTACATTAAATTAGGTGTAAATAGAATTACTGTGTTTGAGTTTTAGAAAGAGGTAGACTTAGAGCACCTGCTGACAGAGGAGGCTGCAATGACTGGCTGATTATCCTGCAAATTACTAAAAACTTGTATAAGAAAGGTTTCTGTACTTGCAAGGTGTGAGGCATAAACCTTTTATCTCTCTGGTTGTTTTGGTTTCTTACTCAGGCAGTATAGCAGCTAGGAATGAAGTAGTTGACACCTTTAGTGTGTGATTCTGGACTGCTGATGTGGGATTCTTTTCAAACAATGCTGTAAGTTTGGTCCCTGTCAGTGGACAGGGAGGAGAGGGAAGTTGCATTTACACAATAAGCAGCATAACCTTCCTTTTACCTTGAAAGAGTAACTCCAGCCCTTACTGGGATGTTGGACTGGAAAAAGTAGGTAATGAAAGCACTTACACAGGAATCAAAAACTTCATTTCTAAGTCCACTTCAGCATGTGAGGGAGCCAAAATTCTACTTAGGGTAGAAAGTCCCCACCACTGAACTATAAAATATTTAGAGCAGGTCTTCTGTTGAAGCTGTGTAATAGTAACTTAGAGGATCAGGATGAAGTAAGAAACAAGATCCTCAATTTACAGGGGAGAGAGAGACCTGGAAAGATGGATAGGAAGGCATTTTGTATTTCTGTCATTTCCCAAGTCAAAAGCTAATTTCTGCATAATGATATTTAAGGATGTGCTGATATCAGACTTCTATATATTTTATAAAAATCTCTTCTAAAATCTTCCTTGGTTTAAACTTGGGTTGCATAATGCACCAATGTTTTCAGGCAATTGAAACATTTTTTGCATTTTTTCAATGCTATATTTGTCTCCTTTGCTGTTCATTTTACTTACTAATAAATTACAATATCTGGTTTATTTGTTTGTTTTCAGGAGTATGGAAAAGACCAGATTACTATTATCAACCCTGCTCAGTTTCCTGATAAATTTTCAGTATCAGAATATTTGGAGCCAACTGTTCTTGGTACTATTGTAACACCTCATGAATATATTGGGAAAATAATTACCTTGTGCCAGGTTGGTGTACAGTTTTAATTTTTTTCTTTGCATGATTAAGCTCTTCACCTCATACTTAAAGTGAAGACACAAGATAGTATGATAATAGATATTACTACTTAAATAGTATCTTTGAAGTAATTATTTGGTACTTTTGAAAGATAAAATAATTTTAAACATTTTATTTCTAAAATTCTGAACTACAGAATCCATAAATGGAAAAGTTAATGATGAAGTTCAGTGACAACAAAGTGCTTGGTCTGTACTAGACTAATTCATAGCTAGTTCTGTTCTTCTGAATGAATGGAGTCTGCAGCAGGGAAATAAGATGTATTGTTTTTTTTAGAAGTATATTCATGGGAATACAACTTCTGCCAACACTTCTGACTATGTGTCCATTTACTTTTTTCAGTACTTCACTGAAAGTAAATTTAGGATAGCGATGGCCAAATTTGCCTAACTGTATTTGGAATACTTCTAATTGAAAATGTTTTAACTGCCATGCATATTATATTTATATTATTTCTTTACAATATTTTTCTTAGCTTTTAACATTCCAAAATGCATAATACAAAGCAGTACAGTGAAGAATAAGATCTATTGAAAAGAATTTCTAAAATAACTTTAAGAACACCCTTCTGGGAGGAAAGAAGATGAGCCTGCAATTCCTACAGTGGCAGCAATAAGCAGAAGCTGTTAAGGATTTCAGAAATTCAGCATTAGTTATAACCACTTCATTTGTTACAGTGCTGAAGTTTGTCCTGGGACTTCAACAAACTACCAATGAGAAAGTTATTTTGGGTCTTAAGTACAGGAATTCTCTTGTGTAGCTTGATTGCTGTTCATTTTAATTTGCTTTGTATTTTTTTGGTAGAAAATTTCAAGGGAAACTGAAACAATTTTTATTTGTCTAGGATCGTAGGGCAGTCCAGAGAGATCTGTTGTACATTGATGAAAACAGGGTTATGCTAAAATACCTCTTTCCACTGAATGAAATTGTGGTGGATTTTTATGATGCTCTTAAGTCTCTGTCTTCTGGCTATGCAAGGTAACTGCCTCCCCTGTTCCCCCTTCTCCTCCTCCCACCCTGGACCCTGAAGGGGGGTGGTATGGTAAAAAAAGGCCTGAGGAACAGCTGTGGAGGGCAGAAGTAAAGAATATTCCTTTCTGGTGCTGCTGCAAATCTAGTCTCTCTTCATCTTGAATGGATTAGATTCACTGTGAAAATGTATGGAAATAAGTCTGAAAAACATGAAAAGTGTGGCACTATCTAATAATCATTGTTTTTGGCAATGAGTGTATTTTTCAAGGGCGCCCCCTGGAGTGGCACTGGTTCATCTATATGAGTAAGACCTAAATGGTCTGTCCTTGTCTGAAGTGACACTGGACAATTTTTTTCAATGGAATCACTGAAACTGTACTACTTACTGTATGAACTGTCTCTTGGTGGAAAAAGGAAAATAACATCAATTATTTAAAGCCAGTAAAAACAATGTAGTATTTAAAACAAACAGTACTTACTTTATATACATGCTTTATTTTGTGAAAAAAAGAAAATTGTGTATTTTGAGACAAATTTGCTGTTGTGGGTGGCTGCTATGAATTCAGAGTCTAGTACAGTGCTCAGATGTTTGTGAAGAGCCTTTGTGAGTTTAATGGAAGGGAAGATCTTGCATGGTGATGAGCTTGTGCCCCTGGAGGCTCAATGGCTCTCACAAACCTCGTATATTGAGATGTCATTAATAGGATATTAGTGACACAATAGGAACTGGTATACTTACTTACATTATTTATTTTACAAACATAAAAATGAATTTTATTGAAGGGCTGAATTTGCTTTGAGTTAATGTTTTCTTTAATTATGTCTTAAAAATGTAAGTAAAACATGTCTTGCCCGGGTTTATATATGCAGCAAAAGAAGCATAAACAAAAGTGGAGAGGCAAGATAGAAGAAACAGAGGGATGGAAATTTTGAATTTCCTCTCTGGATCTAGCTCCCCCACTACATAAAACCTAAACTGTTTATCAAGAACCTATCTCATTAGCAGAATTATGTTGGGTTTCCTTTGATTTGGGGATGATTGCCAATGATGTTGCATTATCTTATTTATTTATTAGTTTTTATTTCCTAATTGACACTTTAATACAGCTTGTGTATGTAGTGCTCTCAGTAATCATATTTCTGTAATATGGATCCATTCACCTATCTGTGGTTATTAAGCCAACTAAGATAGAAGTACTTTGAAATAATCTCAAAGGATTTTTCCTCCCCCTTTTCTGATACTTCAGATTTGACCCCATTACAGTGATATTGATTATCCTCCACAATTATACACACAAGATCCATCTATCTGTCTGTTTATCTATCTATCTATCTATCTATCTATCTATCTATCTATCTATCTGTCATCTATCTATCTATCTAATCTGTCTGTCTGTCTTTGCATACATCACCTCTGCATCTCTTCTATTTTTAAGAATTTTTGCAAACTAACAGACAGTAAGGCCTACACCTACCAAAGATAGTTGCCAGGTTTGGAGACAAAGTGAAAAACTTAGTTGTCAGAGTTGGTGACAATAGGGGTCACATAAAAAGTTTGTCAAATGAGAAGATGAAAAGAAGACAGTCCTGGATTGGTGTTTGATTCCTGTGACATTCAGGACATTAGGTGTACAAAAGCTGTGTTGAAGGGTTCTTTAAGACTGCATTAAGCATGTGGATTTCTAATTGCTCATTAGATTGGAAAGACATCCATGAAGTCAAGATGACCTCTTTCTGCACTGGAGGGGACATCACCTGTGGTACATTTCTAGTGTGAAGAAGTACTGAGAGACTACTAAAAACTGTGCTCCCATTATATTGAAAAGTTCAAGTATTTTATTAAGAAATATGACTATAAAATCTATGGAACAAAGAATGCAAAATATAATTTATACAATATCATGACTAATTTTTGAACTGCTTTTATTTTTTTAGTTTTGATTATGAAGATGCAGGTTACCAATCAGCAGACCTAATCAAAATGGATATTCTTCTAAATGGAAATCCAGTTGAAGAACTCGCAACTATCATACACAAGTAGGTTTACTGGATTCCTTATTCAAAAGGAATAACAATGAAAACATTGTCTATTAATAGGTCTTGATGATCTTAAGGTCTTTAGTGACCTAAATGATTATATGATTCTAAATGACTCTAGGTATATGTGTTACTCTTAATATGAAAAATGTGTATGAGCATTGAAGATTTTTCCATCTGACCACCTTCATTGCCACTGAAAAAGAGAAGTATTTTGTAGTATGAAAATTAGGAAATAATAATAGCAATTTTTTTATTTCTCTGTCTCAGCTTAAGTACTGGATATCTTATTTTTGTGGAAAATGTAGGGCAGAGAGAAAGAAATGCAAAATGCCAATCTTCTAAAGGGCTGGAAAAATTTAAGTGCAGACCAGTCTAGGAGATGCCAGATGAATAATTTATGATGCTTAATACTGACAAAAAATAATTTTGTTCTCCCACTAATTCCTGTTCCATAGAAGTTTGTTGTTACCTTGTTTCCAGACAGAGTACCAGGAGAATGTAAATATTTACTGGATGCAATTACCTCAGAATTTTTTTGCTAAAATGATTCCATTTCTATGAGTATTTCAGGCATTAGAGGTGAGAATAATGCCTTTCCTGTTTCCAGCCTGTGCCCTATCTTCTCAAAAGGTTTTTACAAGGCTCCCTTCTGTAATTTCAGCATCCCTTTCCAATAATGCCTACTTTTGTGGGTTGTTTAGTTTTCCTTCTTAAAATACTTGTAGTAGCTAAATATTTCTATATTTTCATATTTTTTTACATAACTGCAATCTTGAAATCCTTAAAATTCTGTAACTCCAGAAAGCTGACATAGGAAAATAAACCCCTTGCCTTGTTCAAAAGCATCATGGGGCTGAAGGGGAGTAACTGTCTTGCATTCAATTGCTAGTTAATGCATTTCTCATTAGCATGCAGTGTTTAGCAGTCTACCTGAAAAGATGCAAAATGGAGTGGGACACCTTGCAAAAGTTAGTTATTGCTTTAACATGTATTTTTTGATCAATTTAGCCTGTACCCTGAACTGTTTTACTCGCTAAAACTGACTGTTTTTATTCACTAAAACTGTTTTACTCACTGTACTTTCTTTTGGGTTTAGATTTCAGTTGTTTGGTTTTTTTTAAACTCATAGTTGCAGTCATTTTGCTCTTGCTGCAGGTATTTTCAGTCTTCCCACTGTAAAAACTGCATCTGTAAGAATTATGCTGAATAACATTTATAGAGAAAGCAGTACAGAGATTACTGCAAGCTTGGTATTAAGATAGTCATCAATTGTTCTTCCTGTAGAAGTAAATATATGTACCTCTTAAAACTGTAATGCTCAAAGAACATGACTCAAGTACTTCATGTTTAAATGTTTGCTCTATACAGGTGGCAAGGAGTCACACTGCCACTACCTGAAAACATGTATGTTGGTAAAAATGTCTGCTAAATATGGATATTTTTATACAGATAAACCCATTTCTTTCTAACAGCTTATGAAAGTATCTGTTAGTAGCTTCTTTAGACCTTTTGTTGTTTTCTCTTTCCAAAACCTGAAGCATATGCAGATCTTGAATACAGTTAGATAATTTTTATTAGCAGATGACAAGAGTATGTTAATTTATTTTTTTCTTGTGATATAAAACCAGACTTTTAAAGCATTCTGTAATGTGTGTATTTTGACCACTTGGGCCTACGATCAATGAAAATTCTCCTTGACCTAGTTTAAAATTTTGGCAGTATTCAAATGTCTTCATTCAAATGTCTTCAAATTCAAGCTGTGGCAGTATTCAAAATGTCTTCATTTGTGATGGATAATCAGGGTGTTTTTTATAAATACTTGATATGATGTTATATACTGAGGCTAATACAGTCTTATCACCTGTTAGTATGAAACAGGTGACATACAGAGACCACTTATTAGATGTAAAATTTGATCTGATCAGCTTATCTTCTGAGTTAAGAAGAGGAAAACCTCTACTAAAATCCTTCAATCAAACAATTTGATTAATGTATAAATTTTTAGTGTTGCTGACCTTTTTTTCAGTGATAAAGCCTATGCTGCTGGTAAACTCCTGTGTGAACGTTTAAAAGAGACTATTCCTAGACAGTTGTTTGAAATAGCCATCCAGGCTGCCATTGGCAAGAAAATCATTGCAAGAGAAACGTAAGTGAAGCCCTTCTGTTCCCCTTCTTTTTTTTTCTGTCTGTATTTTAAGATATGTAAAATACAGACTTGTGAAGTCTTACCTAGTTTTATACAGTACAGGACTTTGATTTCGCTATAAAGTTGTATTTTTCTTGATATATGCTACTTGAAGAAAAAAACCCACATTTGAGCAGTGACTATTGACTTAACATTTTGAATTAAATTTATACAAAGAAATTGTATTTCTATCTTAGATTGCTTGGGGTCAGAATTGCACTTAGTGGATAAAGTGTAACTTCCAACACAAGTGTCCACTTCCTCTGGCAGTAGAAAAAGTTTCTTACTACTGAAAAAAATTAGCTAGTTGTGGAATACTTTGCTGTGAGAGTCAGCAAAAAAATAGCTGATTTGTGCTGTTCCAAAGGAAATACGTTTCAGCTGAACACAAAAACATTGTCCGAGCACATGCTTCTTTAAAGCAAACCATTTCCTGGATGTTGTGTTTCTCATTTTTCTGTTGCTGATTAAATAGGATTTAAGTAGTGGTAAAATAACTAAAGGTCAGAATTTGGGCAGAAGTGCTGTAAGAATTTGTTTATACGTGTATATACACAGGAATGTAATGCTTCCTGTGAGTCATAGCAGAAATTCCAGATAAAAAGCCAAGATTGTGATTTCTTTATGTACATATTATATGTCCTAAGTGATGTTTCTAGAATTGAAAACTGTGAATTTCATCTTCTATTTAAAGCTTCATATTTTGTATACAAAACCTGTAAATGTTATGATGACAAAGCATCTTACAAAATTAGGAGAAAAACAAATAACATTTTAACAACTCAAGTTCTTAACTTCACATGCAGATGTTCTAATATGTTAAGCTATATGTGTTATTTTATGTTGCAGGCTGAAGCCTTACAGAAAAAATGTTGTGGCAAAATGTGTAGGTATTTTTTTTCTCCATATTTCTGACATTTGTATACGTTAGAATCCTGCTAAGATGATATGCCCATCTCTTCCTAGAAACCCAGCAAAGATATATTCTACTTGTGCCTCCTAAGTGTCTGTGGAATTCTAACAGATACTTTTAAATTTTTATTTTAAAATCCAACTCTTGTAACACGTTGCTGCAGCTTGAAGAATGGATCAGATAAAGTAATGGCATTTTCAGTCACACACTTTGAGTGGGTCTGTTTCATCATCTCATCATTTTCTAACAGTGTATGTGTGTGTGTGTGTACACAGGCATATAAGTAACTTTATATTTTCTAAATTGGTTTTCAGGTGATAGAAGGAAATATAAATGGGCTTCTTTTGAGACTTGATTGTGATTAAACTTCTATTTAGGTTTGCAGTAATACATTGTAATAAAGCTTTAAATGTCAATAGTTGACTATGGCCAAGATTCAACAAAACTGTTGGAAAACTGTGAGGCCTCTTACTTAGCTTGGTTTTAACTCTCTGAATTGAACATATTGGAAAATATTAAACAAGTGTCCCTTTCTCACAACTGCAATAGAATTCTGCTAAGCACAGCTGTGGGATGGTGACTGTTCAGCACTGTACAAGGTTTAGGTCATTTTTCTAGATGTAAGCACCTAATGCTAGTCAAGATGCCACAGTGTATCTGAGCTGGTATCCTGCTGCTATTCCAAGGGGATTTGGATCTAATGTGTTGTCTAGTGTCAGCCAGGCTTACAGCAATGTATATATTTAGGTGACAGAATTCAACAGTCAGTTGTCCAAATTAATGTGATTATTTTCCTGCTTGTTCTTTTTAACTAGTGTCATTTAGACCAAACTATTTGGAGTATAAAGTAATATTTTTGTCAAAATATAACCAGGCTTTCTGACTATTTTTAAACCATTGAGTTTTGTGTGGCTGGAATGTACTGTAGCTGCAGTTATAATTTATGCTTAGTAATTTTTTTTTTTCCACAGTATGGTGGTGACATTACAAGAAGAATGAAGCTTTTAAGGAGGCAAGCAGAAGGCAAGAGGTTGATGAGAAAAATTGGCAATGTTGAGGTTCCAAGAGATGCTTTTATACGTGTTCTAAAGAGAGAAACTGACAAATAGAGATCAGTGAAATCTGATCTTCCAGATCATGTCAGCTTTTTGCAGACAGTAGCAAAGTGAGCTAATACAGGATTTATCACTGTGAAAGGGAACATACATGACTTCAAATGGAATGAATTTGGTATGTGTGGGAAGATGAATTGACTTAAAAATGTACATATATTTGTAGATTATGATGAAATTAAAGTTACTTGACTGCATCCAAAAGTTCACGTTATATTTTCATTTTATTCCACTGTTTTCATACTTTTAGCACTTAAAATGAACATAATCTTGGGGTTTTTTTTGCATTGCAAGTCTCTATATATAGAGAGGAACCATATGGCAAAAAGATTATAAAAATAATTTAAAGGTATGTATAGACAAACAATGCTGTGTTGGTTTGTTTTTTTTCTTTTAAAGTTTGAACTGCTGACACAAAAGTATCAAGCTGTTTCCTGTTTCATTTTCTCCAACGTTGCTGTTGTCAGGAAATCGTGATGCTAGGAAACCACATCAGATGAAAAAAATCAAAACTCTTTAAATTTACCATGCTGTTTATTTTAAACCAGTTGAAGTGTGTAAATTTACCATTAGTTCAGCCTAGCTGTGCTCATCTCCAGGGAAATGGTAAGTTTTCATATATTAAAACACAGGATCTGTAACTATTCCACTAGTAAGACCAATTCAGGCCTTAAAAAAATTATTTAACATGAAGGTTTGGTTATAACAATATCTTGGTGTAGTTGGTGAAGTTTTATTTATATTGTTTACATACTAAAGTTTGTCAGTGCATGCCCAGTTAAATGCTGCAGTGTAGTGTGCATAACACATAACATGAAGTGTTACTTTTGGAAGTGTACACAAGGCAATTATAAATATAAGTTAATGACCCTACTATATACTGTATTTACAACTGTTTACCCACCTCCAAAAACTTTTAAACTGCATTAATTTTTTTGATCTTCAGGGACTAGTTTTGCTCTTCACAAATCTTAATTTCTTGTTATTAAATATTTATTAGAGAACAAATTGCTAGTCATACCTACTAAAGCACTCAGTCACCAGGAAAGTCTGCCCTTAAATTTAGGCTTGTACCTACCCTTTAATCATAGTTTTATTTCAGCCTGTGTACAAGGAGGAATTGGGAAAATCTTCGGAGGGATGGAATGGAACAGGACATGTTCCCTTTCAACCTGTATTAGTTTCAGGGTGTAGAAAAAGGGGAGAGGGAATTCTGATACGTTAATGGTTTGTTGGGGCTTTTTTCTATTTGGTTGTGGTTGTTCAGGTTTTGGGTTTTTTTTTTTTATTTGAAGCTGTTTCAGGTGCACTGAAAAACCAAAGATCTGGATGTGAACAAGGTATCTGCACCTTTAATAAAGGTACCTAAGCTGCTGCTACTGACCCTGAAGAAAGGAAGGATGCTGTGGATAAAGGCTCTCTAACACATTTATTATTCCTCCCCTATAAAAGCTAGCATTTAAGGAACTACAGCTGCAGGGATACATGCTAGGAGCAAAGGAGCTAAAATGAACTCCTTGAACCAGACCTACAGGCAGTGATTCTGTACTGAGGAATAAGGCAGAAACTGAAGGTGAGCTAGAGATTGTCCAAACAGTAAATTATATCCTTGCTGAGTGACAGAGACATCAAGTGTATGTTACCTAATTAAATGAGTTACATAGATGGATAGAGCTGCCTTGAGAATCTGTTTTAGCTTTACTATAGTCACATGAGGCAGAAAAAAAATACAAATTATAGTCTTAATTCTGAGATGACTTGTACATATATCAGTTTTCAAAACAAGAACTTTAAATTAACTGGTCAGTACCTGTAAAGTACATGAGGTATTAGTTTTTGACACAAATGTACCTGATTCTATCTAGTTACTTTTTGATTCCCCCTTTCCTTTGGAAAGACCTTAAAATGAGAAAAAGAATAAAATGGTAACCTTGATGTGCTAGGCTAACTTAGAATTTACTTTTAAGGACTCCTGAACTTGAAAATGCTTGCTTTGCCATTACTGCAGAGTAATGGGTTAACTCTTATGCAACTTAAAGGGTTGACTGGACCACTAAAGTAGTGGACAAGTTTGGAAGGTACTCTCCTGAAGAAATGATATTTCATAAAATGATTGGAAGTATCTTAAGGAATGAAATAACAGAAACAGTGTGGTAGTACTTAAAAAAATTTCATAATATAGCACTCAAAATTTTTAAAAAATAGTGTAACAAGAGAAACAAGCTGGAGAACAACAAGAGCTGTGCATTAAAAGAGGCAATAGTCCCAGACCCAAGGACAGACAGGTTCTGCTGTACCGGTATTTAAACTGGCCTGTGTTTTACAGAAGGTCGAGTAGTTAAAAAGGGAGGAAATATATTAATTCTGTGATCTGGCACATCTTGAGAACACAGAGGGCTTTAGTGAGTAAGGGTGCCAAGTGAGGCACATGATTGAAAGGTGTGCTGGAATAAAGAACAAGAATATTGTTTCAATAGCATTCTCCATTTTGGCACATGAAGGATAATGATCAAGATGAAACCTGTTTCAATTCCATTAATACTAACCTAAATTAATTACTACTTTTAGTTTCATGCTTTTGTAATAGAATTGTTTGTAAATTTGCTTAGCTGTAAAGGCTAATGGCAAACCTAACACTGCATTTTGAGTCATACATTACCTGTAACAGCATTCTTCTGAAAGGCAGTCTTTTCAACTTTTTTCCCCACAATGTTGCATTATGCTTCAAAAATACATGTGCATAAACTGAGCCTTAAAGCTGAAAACCTGTTTTAAATATGTGGATGTTCAATGTACTGTTGAGAATTGAAACACTAGGCCTGGCTTCCTACACTGCTGTAGACAGATTCTTCCATGCTTTTGTAATTCCTCAGAATCAGAGAACAGTCCAGTTTTGAAAGGACTCTGTAAGACCATTTATGAGAAAGGTGAGCCTAGATGAGTCTAGAAAAGTCACCTAGATGAAAGGTGAGCCTCTCACATCCCTGGGGAGATAATGTGATTTTGTAATAAAGACTACATGCCTGTCATTTGGGTGAAAAGTTGAATTGTTGAAGTTGTGCTTAGTTGTACTTTCTTGCAGTGAGTATTTTCAACAAGGGCTTTCCCAAAAAAAGTCTTCATCAGTAAACTCTTATCTTTCTCCTTTGGTGCCTAATCACTCCCTGAAATTCTGAACTATTTAATCATGACAATTTATATTAGAAATGAAACAATTTTGAAACTAAGAGATTTATATTTAAGTTTTACTTATATTCAAAGTAGGAAATAACATTCCTTGTAACAGCTCAATGTTTATAATGATACAATGAAAAAGTGATTAACAGTTGGCTTTAAATGATCATTCGCAGACGTTATAGTCCTGTAAATTAAGCTCTTTTCAGGCATTTAATTGTAACATCAGTTTTATAATTGACCAGGTACCTCCAGGAAGGAACGTTGAGATTTTTTCCTTATGTATAAAGCTTGATTACCAAAAATATAAAATCCTAAAGTAATTTGAAGTACATGAGAGGAAAAAGTGCTGTTGTAGAAGTTTAATATTTTTATCCATGGAGCAACTTGTAACTTTGAAGAATTTGGTGCATTTTTAGGCACTGTTTTTATATCTTCATTTGCCCAAAATATAAAGCAGGACTTGAGATGCCCAAAAACTGTGTAAGACAAATTTAAGGCAACCAAGTGCAAAAGCTCAATATACATTAGATATATGTAAACAGAACATTTCATAGTAGAAATTGTACAACTATTACAAGTCCATAGTAATAGCAAAGGCCAAAACCATTCTGCCTAGAGACACAAATGCAAAATGTAGTTACTCTAACCAAGCCAAAAATTAAGAATTCTGGGAAATGAAGTGTCATCTTCTCTAATAGGAGGCAGATGCAATACATTGCTGTGCTGGAGTAAGTGCTCTGCTTTTCCCTTCTCTACATAATGTGCAGTCTCTCCCAAGTTTGTTCTGTTCCATTTAGTGATGTACCAACAGTGGAGCTCCAAATGTTAAAGCAAAATGCACAACACAGCAAACAGATGGAATGTGAATGTACAGATATTGGACCTTTTAAAAATACAGTACCTAGGATTTCCCATTTTAAACAGTTTTCAGCATATTGCATAGCAGTGAACTCATCTGCTACCTAAAAATGTTGCTGCTGACCCACATGGAGTTCCTCTTCAGTCTTCTTTCAGTTTTCTTTCATACTGTACAGTGGGTCCACAAGCTTATTGTGCACATGCATTAAACCTTGGGGGGAAAGCAACAATGCCAGCTTTACATTAGTTATACTTTGATAAAATGTTCTTCTATCCACGTTTTTATTTGGAATTTGCTTCAAAGTACACATTTTAAATAATTCATTGACGAGAACAAAAATGGCTATGTAAAGTAGTTCAGAGTCAGAGACAGCAGATATATATTCCTGTATCACTTGCATACTAATGACATATTCAGTATGAGCTGAGCAGGGACCAGACAGTTCTCTAATAACAGGGACTACTTCCAAATGAAATGAATATATCTTTTGTGTATTAAAAACTGTGTAACAGCAATGTAATTCCCTCACCCCACAATGTGCCATAACAATTAGATCCACACATAGTGAGACTTTGACAGCTTGAGTTCTTTTGAAATGTTCTAGCATTGTGGTAGTACTGTTTTTGTAATAATCATGTACTTGTGGTCCTAGACAGGCAAAATCAAATTAAAATTATCCAGACTCTTAGTGCAGACTCAATTTCAGCAGTCCAGCTGTTTTCTGTTGTAGCTGGGCTTTTTCTTGTCATATACAAGTCCTTCATAGCTATGATTAGGGGAATAATTTTTTTACTCTTCAACTACTTTAATTCTAATAAATGCTGTAGTGCAATTAAATAAAAAGATGCTTCCTTCTTAACTTTGCTATAACTTAATAAAAATGTTACCTACATCTAGGTATGTGTGACATGGGATCACTGGCCAGTTTTGCCTCATTTCACCTTGAGAACTAATAACAGTAATGATCAGTGTTCACAATCCACAAAGTAAAAGTCCATTTTAGTATTGAACTAAAGACTGAATTTCTAAAATTAAAATATGCAACACTAAAAGTAATTTTCTTAAAAATGATGAAAGAAATCTCACATTACTGCATATTTATTATCTATGGTAAAGAATATTCAAATACCTTTGCTACATGATGCAGCTGGTGGCAGCCTAAGTGCCACTGCAGCAACATGAAGTTTGAGTTAACTATACAATCTAAGGTCATTACTGTAGGTGACCATAAAAAAGGCATCTTATGCAGCATCTATTACTAATCACTATGTGATTATTTAATATAAAATACAGATGTTAGATCAAGTGTAATATTTTTTTCAGTTTAACAGTGACAAGAACTTAAGTATACATTTGACATAAAAGCTGTTTGTCCAAAAAGAGTAACAGCTGCATACACTATGTAAACTAGAAACATGTTTTGAGCTTTAAAACATTTAACTTCCTACCAATATTTTCCTCTTCTAAAAAGGGGAAATGAAATAATTACCCATTTCCTAGATGCATGAAAAATGGTTACAAAGTATAGCTTCTGTCATACTTAATGAAGAATATTTAAATCCTGTTAGTCAAAGTGTTACAGGAAAAACAGTGAGAGACAAAAGATTTTTTTAAAGAAATGCACCAGACTTGGTAGATGCCAAAAAAATTATTTCAAAGGAAAGTCCCACTCGATATTCAAGTATGCTTTGAATAAACAGATTTCTGCACACAGTTTTAAGAGGAGCATGTGTAAGTATGGAAAAAATTATCCTGAACTAACTTATAGGCAGATAAATCAGTAAATTCAAAATTCATTTTCTGTTTCATTCTTCAAGAAAGTTGCAAGTAAGACCATAAGTACACTTGATAATTTTAGTCTATTACAGGTTTTGAGAATGTTAGAAAAAATGGAATAGGTTAATCTATTTACCAGCCAGTGTGGTACTTGATTATAAAACAAAAAAAAAAAAAGCAGCTTCATATTGAAAGTTTTAAGTGGTGAAAAATCTCCACAAATCACTTCTATAAATAGCAGTACTAATAACTACATAGCTTCCCTAAGAAGTCTAACCTGAAGATCAAGTTTCAGAAATAATTCCAAATTTGACCCACACTGACTTCTCCATCTTACAAGGGGAAAAGAATCTTACTGATTGCAGAGCAGGTAAAATTAATTAAGTTTAAAGTAAACCATCTTTTTAAAGTTCTATTGCTGTGTATTACAGGGTAATTATGTACAGTGACACAATAGCACACATTCATAAATTGTAGCCCTTGATGTTTTTTAAAGCAATATTCAGTGTAATTTATATTTAGTGATTCTACATTAGGTTTGTATTTCCCAAGCAAAGCCTCTGTTTATATAAAATACAGGATAATGTTTAAAACTTATCCAAGCAGTTAGAGAAGTTTATCTCTGAAAACAACAGTAAGTGCTGTCTAGCAGTGTGATACAAGAAAAGACTAACCCTCCCTCCTACCCCACAAATACATAGCAGAGAACAGCATACTGAAAAATTCAAAATTAACAAGCTGGCCACAAGAGGTATCAGTATAAATATCATAGAGGTGTACAAACTGCAATCCAATACATATATGAGCACTGGTAATATAATGCTCTAAAAATGAATTTAATAAATTACAATCTTGATCTCTGATACCTCAACTACTACAGGTACCCATGCTAGTGAGAAAACAACTAAGTCACACAATTGCATGTGCTGTGCTAGTGCAGTCAGGAGAAAACTACTTTTCTCAGCTTCTACTGTCTCAGTCAAACAGAATTCAGTCTAGGAAGTCTCAATTACTATCAAATATCCTGACTTACTTTAAGTTTGCCGCAATATACCTACTACAAATATGTAAAACACATGGTAAAAGGGTGCAATGTTTTCAAAGGCAGTATAGATTGTTATGCTAATTGCACATGAAAAATGTTCTCAGGTGGCTTCAAAGTCTGTATTGCAGTTTACTAGACATCACATTACAGCAAAAGCAGCATGGAAATGTATCAGGATTAATAAATGTATTAAGAATTTTTTAAGCTAAACTTTCTAGTAAACTTAAGACCGGTATTCTGGAACACCAGATTACTGCTGTTTAAAGTTAAAGATTACTAAACTATTGTTTAAACTGGAAGCAAAGGAAATACTCTTCCCAAGTATATTGTCTGGAATGTAGGTAGCACAAGTTATGCCTCCTGGCAATTTTCCAAACACAAGAAATAAGTTAATATTTATATTTTGACTATATAGCATTATACATTAGTGACTGCAAAGTGTTGGAAGGCTCAGATTTAAATCAGTATAATTTCAAAGCTGTCGGTTTTGGATAAACATGTGACCTCTGATTCAGTGCTCACCTTTAAAGTACTTCACAGTTTTAACTCTTAGTTCTAAAGTAGCATCTTCATCACACACAAAGATAGTGCGAGGGTGTTGCTGGAAAGCAGAAACTGTCCACATATGATTGACTCCTTCTTCAATTGCTTTGTACAATGCAAAAGCCTTGTGTGCACCTGTTATAAGAATCATCACCTGCAAAACAAAGGTCTCTTTACTTTTAATCCCAGTATCAATACCAACTAATCTTGAAAACACACATGCAACTAGAACTAAATGAGTTCTTACTTCTCTAGCATCCATCACTGTACCCACACCAACTGTTAGCGCCATAGTTGGTACTTTAGATAAGTCTCCATCAAAGTATTTAGCATTTGCCAAAATGGTGTCCATTGCTAAAGTCTTTAATCTTGTTCTTGAAGACAAACTCGATCCGGGTTCATTGAATGCAATGTGGCCATCTGGACCAATGCCTTTTCAAAGTTAAAAAAAATAAATCATTCCAGACCTGAGAGTCAACACATAACCTCAAACATTGTAAATTAATAAAAAAGGGGGCTCATCCTTTCCTTTTGCTTTCCCATTTTCAATAAGTCATTAGAAACTTGGACACCAACCATTCTCTTTTGAAATTTATACTGATTCTTTGTTAGTCACAGAACTTTCTTAC